TGACTCTGAGAAGAATGGGAATCCCAGAACACTTGATTGTGCTAATGCAAAACCTATACTTGGACTAGGAAGCAGTCATCAGAACAGAGCAAGGCAACACTGCATGGTTCAAAATTGGGAAGGGGGTATGCCAGGGATGTGTCCTATCTCCATACCTTTTCAACCTGTATGCGGAACAGATTATTCGGGAGGCTGGGCTCTATGAGGAGAAATGTGGCATCAGGATTGGAGGAAGACTCATCAACAATCTGCGTTATGCGGATGACACTACCTTGCTTGCTAAAGCTGAGGAGGACCTGAAGCACTTGCTGCGGAAGGTCAGGGACTGCAGCCTTCAGTATGGATTGAGACTCAATATCAAGAAAACAAAGATTTTCACCACTGGGCCAATTGACCGTGTAATAATGGATGGTGAAGAGATTGAGATTGTTCACAGTTTTGGTTTGCTTGGATCCACAGTCAACACTCTTGGCACCAGCAGCCAGAAAATGAAAAGATGTATTGTGATGTGATGGGAAAATCTGTGGTTAGAGGAGGACTCTCTAAAATGCTGAAGAGCGAAGATATCAGTCTGGAGACTAAGGTGCGCCTGATACATGCCATGGTCTTTGCAATCACTTGCTATGCATCGGAGAGCTGGACAATGGCTAGGAATGATAGAAGGAGAATTGATGCCATTGAGTTGTGGTGTTGGAAAAGAGTATTGAATATACCGTGGACTGCTGGGAAAACAAGTTTGTCCTGAAGAGGGTGAAGCCTGGCTGTTCCTTGGAGGCAAGGATTCTGAAGTTTCATCTGACATACTTTGGACATGTTGTAAGGAGGGACCGGTCCTTGGAGAGAGACATCATGCTTGGGAGAGTTGAGGGACAGCGCAGGAGAGGAAGACCCTCAATGGGATGAATTGATTCAGGACTAGGGTTATGGGGGTAGGTGTGTTGGAGATGGTGAGACTGGCACATGATAGGGCAGAGATTAGGGCTGTTGTACATAGGGTTGCTGTGAGTCACATATAACAACAACAACAACAACAACAACTGCTAACATGCCTCGAGGGAGGGGTGTGCCATTTATTATTATTATTATTATTTTTATTTTTTAATTTTTTTGTCATTTATTATTCAATCTTGTAACATAGGGTTTCTTGTCATCCACTACCTCATCCTTCAATTCTCCTCATATCCTTCCAGGGCGGAGTTCATTACCATATGGTTAGAACAAGTTTAGCCAAATTGCTGAGAAACCAGCACCTAGGAAGGTTAAAGTCCTCTCCTTGCAGTAAGAGAGTAACAGACCCTTCCTCCTCATGCCTGGGGCCACTGTAAGATTAAAGCCAGTTTCTCGTCTCCAAATCTTAAAACCAATAATGGTTTTTAGTTCCCTCGTGGTGGGAAGTGTGGACTATTATTTCTGCACAGCCCTTGAGTTAAGAACACCGCTAACAATATTAAAGGTGTTTTGTGACACTTAAAATCTTGTGCGAATAACAGTGTCCACAAATAAAGTTTTGGGAGAACCCAGCCATACATTAAGTGAAGGCATCCCTCGGAGGTATTTCAAGTTCAGTTCTAGACTTGGGCAGTAAAGCAAGTATGGCAGTAAAGGAGTCAGGCCGTTGTTGGCGTTCCAGTGTCTAGAAAAAGCTGCATTCATGCTGTAGGATATTTACTGTACAGTTGTTGTTGCCATGTGCCCTCGAGTTGCTTGTAACTCATCATGACCCTATGTACAACAGCCCTGAAAGTTGGAAATACAGCACAAGTTGCCAAAATGGGACATAGAGACACAAAGTGGGCACATGCTTTTGGAAAAATGGCACAGTTTTCCTCTGCACCGAGTTACCAGAAAAGTTCTCAATTTGGAAGAAATGCAGTGTCTGTGAAACAAAACGAAGCAAGGTACAATTAAACAAGCTGAGCCGGTATTGTCATTGTGTAGCTTCACTCACTATCTTACTGTCCTGCCAAGTTGAGATAGAGGCCCAGCAAAGCCTGAAATATTTATTACCTGGCCCTTTGCAGAAAAAGTTTGCTGACTGCTTGCTGCTCTCCAGGGCTGACCACGCAAAACCCTTTTCATGGGGTTGATTTACAGATGATCTATGGGTGACTGGGATTCTATTTTAGCCTTGTTGAGAAGATGGCATCTACTACAGTGTGATGCCAACCTCAGCTTGATCCACAGGCTACTGCCTTGGGAGTGGAGCAGGGAGTTCCGACTCCAGTCTCAGTTCTGGGTAGCCTTGGACATGACACAGCTCCTCTGTGAGCCTCAGTGTTGTCCCTGTAACTTGGTGGTGGTGAGGGGGAGGGCAGGAGAAGCAGAACACCTGAGGAGCGGCCTCAAAGAACATTTCAGGAAAAGAGGATGATCACATGGCAGGAGGTAAAGAAGTGTCATGTTGTTGTTAATTGCCTTCTAGTAGAGCATGACTCATAGTGACCCTATGGACAAAAGGCCTGAAGCCTTTCTAGAACTATCGACATTTATCAAAGTTCATAGAGTTTCCGGAGGCATGCTGTTTAGGAAGTGGATGCCACTCCTACTACCTAACCTGTCATAAAAAGTTATTGTTGTTATGTGCC